CACTCCCTGTGTGGAAACAGCCCTATTATGACTTGGATAAGACAGACCAAACCAAACCAAATTCACTCACACAGAAAAATATTGAAGGCAAAGAAACAAAGACTCCAAAACCCTAAGGTGCTGGGATTAAATGACAAGAGGGAAAAAAAAGCTTCCTTTTTGTCTGAATTAAACGTCTTATAACAATCATTGGCAAGGCTTCAGGTTCAAGCTTTCAACTGCCAGTGATTTATTCTGATCTATAGAAATCAACAAAATTTGCTCTCTGCAGCCAGAGTCACAGAATAACCTCACAACACATTCAGAAGTTCACCGAGGACAGCAGCAGTTTTCCAGCTGTACAGTTCTGTACAAGTGAGTGATGTGTAATTGTATAATGGTTTTGATTACGATATGTTGCTATGTTCTACTCCTGCTGCCACCATAGCCCAGAGGGAATCTGCATGTTATCATGACATTCCACCTCAGATTGTTTCTCTCTATAAACAACTGGATTTTAATAAACCAACAGAACAAGGACGACTGGGGATTACTGTGAATCATAATTTTTTGGTGTTTCCTGCAGACCAGTGAATGTTGAAAGATAAATGTGGCTGCATTATAACTGGACGCTCACGCCTTCTTTTAGGAAAGCGTTATTATTCTTCTGTGTCTGATTGTTATGGATAACAGCTTTAAGTCAACACTGTCAAGGTGGCATCTTCCTTACATGGTGAGAACGTACACTGGACGTTTCAAAACCTGCTTCAACACACAGAAAGTCAAGTAAAGGACAGTATCCTAATGCCCAACTTTGAGGAACATCAGTCTGTAGGGTTTGAGTTCTGTGACTGCTACAGACCTCACAGTGCTTACCTGTGGCTTTCCTATCTCTGCCCTTGACAGTGGGCCTCCTTCACACACTAGAAAACATAGATGAAGTTCAGCCAGCTGCATTTTGTACATTTTGTACAGCACAGACATACTGTACTTTTGATCAGGTTTCCACACCTGCTTCCTCATCATCCCAAATAATGAAATTCAGCCTCAGATGATTAGAGTATTGCTATTCCTGATACTATATCCAACATGGAGATTCTCGAAAGCAGTCACAGTCAGCCAACATGCTCCTACTTTACATTCTTAGATCTGAAGATAGTGCAAACTCCAGGAGGGTATTCTCTGGGGTCTGTCTCTCCAAGACTCGTCTAATTCACTTGAAATTATTCATGCCCCCATCGTAAGTTCTTAAGATTTCTTTTATTTTTTTTTCTTTTTGTAAAGTAGAGGTATCTCCATCTTGTGCTGGTCTTTATGATTAAGAGGAGACTACTGCTATTGCAAGGAGATGTGCAAATTAATAAGCAAGTAGCACATACTCATCTCTTTCTATACTGAACATTATCTAGAGTTTGTCTTTTCATTACCTATATGCTTAGAAATTGTTACCAGAAATAGGGAAGCACAAAATGAATTTATATTTATGTTGCAGTAGTAAAGCTTCCCAGCTTTCAGAATGCATATGTGCAGAATTTTGTAGGTCTCTTGTTTTGGGATATTTGCATCTCACATTTGGGTACTAGCAGGTACAGAGGTGTGCCCCAATAGTTTGTCAATATTATTGTTATTTATTGATAGTATCAACACAGGAAAAGAAGAATACTTAAAACTGAAGGAAGCTCTCCTTAAAAAAACAGCACTGCATTTTTTTCATATTTATGCACATATTTTCTTACTTCTTACAAAGAATTTGTTGCTTCTCTGAAGAACGAAGCTGGATTGGATTCAATTCTGTTCTGTTTGACAAATAACAGCAATGACTGATATTGATTTTTTTTCCCTCACACTGCTGATTTTATTTAAACTGGCTGTTGGTTTAAGTGCTCAGAGAGATTTTTATGGAAGGAATATTTTTCACTTTTTTTTTCCTAAAGTTTTACAGAATATGGACCGTTTTGAAGGATGTTTTTAAAACACCTTTAGAGGTATCTTCCTCTTGAGAAAGTGAAATAATTCAATGATATAATTAATTTGATCAGTAAGTGCTAGTATTCAGAGCACAACATATGCAGTGATGTTCTGGTAAATGGTGGTAAACTACCACTTTCTCTATAACTTTTGGCCACATCATTTGAATAGCATAAGGAGAAATACTGCAGAGAACAGCTCTGAGATTGCCAGTGCACCTTACCCCATTACAGAGTACTCACATCACCAGTAAAAACCACCCCAATGATGTAGGTTTCAGCAAAATACTCTTTCATAGTGAGAATACTTCACAGTGGGTGGCAGGGAGATGACCCTCCGTGTGTCCCTGCTTTAAAGGATGCAGAAACAAGCACTGCATTGTTTGTGATAAGCACAGCCACCTGATATCCTAGGACTGTCACACTCTGTTCCATACTAATGTGCACCTCAGGGTAAAAAAAGCCTGTGTTAATAAAACCTCTGCTCTGCTTTTCTTGGAAGAGCTACTTCTGGCACTTAGAACAGCTCTTTGCTTCCATCCTCATACATCTCCAGCCTGCAGCCAAGAGCAGCTCCCTGCAATTTATTAAATTAGTTCTCTAAAAGAACCCCTTGCACATACTTTTTTCCAAGCAATTCTTTTTCCCAGTGACTCCAGGCCACAGTGACTGAGCAAGAAGCTGGTCAAGGTAGTGCAGGAGAGCACAGCTGAAAGAAGATAAAGATGGCTTGGGTGACAGGAGGTGACATGCACAGGAGTAGAGTGTGACTGCCTTTGAGCTTTTCCTTCTTATATTCTCTTGTATACAAAAGAGCTCAGATACAACAGAAAGTTTTTTCCCTATGTCACTTTTTTTTCCTCCTGATCTTATTACTGAGTAGAGCTTAATGGCGATTTCTGTAGGAAACGAGTCACTAACATGAGGCAGAGGTCAGACATTAACCACATCAGACCAGTACTTGGCTCATTGGCTCTATGTTTAGAAGCTCTGCATTGGACCACCACTGCACAGTGAATGAGTGACTCCTCTTCTTCCAGTGAGAGGAAGCTATGTGGGAGAGCAGCAGTTGGACAGAAATGAGAAGAAAATTGTACTTTATGGAGAAAATACATGCTCAATTCAGCCTGATCCAGAGCAAGACAAATTATTCCTTAAGTTGCACAGAACATAATTCCTAGGATATTTTTGTTTAAGACTTTTTTTTTCCTGGAAAGGGCTGATACTGTGTAACTCTTGATGTAAGGCCACCAAACCACTTATCAATGCCAGCCAGAAGGCAAGTACCGCCGTGAGGGACTCAGCACAGACTGGTCAACTGAAGGCTACGCGCATTGGTTCTCTAATATTGGATGTCAGGGAGAAGTTCTTTACTATGAGAGTGGTGAGGTGCTGGAACAGGCTGCCCAGAGAGGTTGTGGATGCCCCATCCCTGGAGGTGTTCATGGCCATATTGGATGGGGCCCTGGGCAGCCTGGTCTAGTATTAAACGGGGAGGTCGGTGGCCCTGCCTGTGATGGGGGGGGTTGGAGATTCAAGATCCTTGAGGTCCCTTCCAACCCTGACCATTCTGTGATTCTGTGATTCTAATACAAAGAACAAAAAGAATAGTTCCACAGAAGCAGTTCGCACTTAGGAGGAATAAAGTTGAGATTAACAACCAATATTTTTAGCCAGTCAGCCACCCAACAATGTGGCTATCTCATTCTTAAGCCTTCTCATTTGCTCTGTATACAGTTACCAAAGCAATTAGTCTGCATCTTTGCTATCACTGTGAACTTAATTAGATATTTCGGTCGCTTCAGATTATTGAACTGTTACCATGAATACAAAGTGGAAATTTCATCTTTTTAAACACAATCTAAAAAAAAAAAATAAAAAATGAACAACTGAACACAGCATAATAGTGTCTTCCAATGCACTGGCTTTTGTATGGGTAGCTGCTGTGTAGGTACTAAACCCCTCCCAAGTTTTGTGTCTGGCAGTCTGCTTGCAAAATGGTACTAATCTGTCAACTCATACTTCAGCTAACTACAGATTCAAAGTATGAGAAACATACTGCAGAAGTGATTGAAAGACCAAGTAGTTAATAATCTACTAAACACTCTCAAAAGACTTCTCTGTCACAGCTTGGTCCCTGTAGTATGTATGGACAGCATGAATTAAACATTTCTGTAACACAGACATGTATAACCTCAAAACCAGGAACTCCCTCCCAAGAGGTTAATCCCTATCAACAGAACATTTCTTAATGCATTTACCACCGTGCATAGCACAAGTGCAGCCAGCCTGTCATTCTAGTTTAGATATGAAGACCAAAAAAGACTTGGTCTCCCTACATTAGTCCTCCTCCTTCTGTTTCTGCCAACAAGAGCTTCCACAGATAGGATGGGTTTCATTAAACTTAATGTAGAAAGATTCAGTGAAACACATAAGCCAAAACTCATCATTCTACATATTTGAACAATATTTTAGATGGAGAATAAATGATACAATCCGTAACAGGTTTTATATGCATTGAAATCCATTAAAGTTTATAGGTTTTCTCATGAATGTGCTAATAGAAACTGAAACAGTAAAGGAAGAGAGACCAGATCTCAGAAGAAATGCTTAAAAGACCACTAATCAAGTAGGAAACTTCTTGGGAATTAGAAGTTCTGGAAAAAACAGAGCTGAGTAATACTGCACATACTTTGCTGCACCCCAGACAAGTAACAGAATCACCTTTACTCCATCACAGAGTTACTATAACAATTTGCATGACTGCTGAAACCCCCAAGTATTACTTAAAAGAAAACTGGAGAACACAGTTAGCATTCATATTAATTAAAGCTGCAGCCTGCATGAAAACCAGTGCTTCTATGACTGAATCATGGGCACGTGAGAGACAAGCTCCTTATATGAACAGGTCAGTATTTGAAATCTTCCCAGGTGCTCTGACTGGTGCCTTTTGCCATGCCAGATCCAACAACCCCTTTTGGGACTGATCTGAAAGACAAACTGTAATGTAATGGAAATATACTATCAATAGTATAGGAAAGCTGACATACTTACAGTTGCATTTTTTCTGAACAAATCTAAGTTTACATGCTGTTCGGTAGGTGGACAAACGAATGCGATCCAGATCTTGAGCCCCTAGTGGAAGAGAATAACAGCAACATTTGTATGGAATATGACCTACGTGCATCTTTCATAACAGGGAAAGCAGAGAACACAAAGAACACAGCAGTTGAGTCATAAATTATTTTCAAGGCTATCTCGTTTGAAGGGAGAGTAGTGAGGGGTGGGCAAGAAGAGGTAGGAGCTACAGCATTAAAAAACTTTTGTGAGGGAAGGCAAGAAGTAGTCAGCCCATTGTGTCTGTCACTTTGAAGAACAACCTGGTCAAGCTGCAGGCTAAATGACAACGGCCAGGCTCCAACACAATGAAAACCTTCATCTGATTTTAATACTTAACAAAAAAATTTTGGCTGACATGCCAGATCACAATAACATCTTGCCAGCAAACCAAATTAGAAACAGTATTATGCCCTAAGTAATAGACTGACAGCAATCCGCAGAAGGGAGCAAAAATACTGCAAGGTGAGGCATCCTCCAATTCATAGATGCTCGTTCTCTGCAACGGAGAGCTCAAATAGTCAGCTCTCTGGCTCACACACTGTATGGTCCAGGCTGTTACAACTTAAAGATTCAGCAAGATTTCCAGAGCAGTTATCCAGGAGATACAGGTAGAAGCTGACTGATAGCTATTCCACACACAAAAGCAACACAAAGGGACCAAAACGGGGGCAGGATGTGACACAGTGCCTTTAGGCATCTTGCTGCTGTGTATCATTCATAACATTTTCAAAGAATCTCAGAAAGTAGATGAGTAGGTCATTAATTAAATGTTTCTCCTTGGCTGGTATGTCTTACCCAAGAAGTATTGTTGCACAGCTACAGCATGGCCTATTAAATAAAAGGCTGATTATTAATTCCATTACACATTTCAAGGAAATGTTCAATTGAATCTTTGCACATTTTCTTTTTCATGATATTTTGGCCCTAGAATAAAAGAGTAAGAACTATCCTGTTCAGCTGAGCAGCCTCCTAGGCAGGAAAGGTACCAACCTAAAACAGAGCTCCTTAAGGGACTGTCCACACAAAACATATCTATACAAGATACACTTGGGCTGTAAGAAAAGTGGAGTGAAATATCACAGAATCATAGAATAGTTTGGGTTGGAAAGGAACCCAAGGGTCCCAGGCTTCCAACCCCCCTGCCACAGAAGGGGCAACCAACTTTCAGGTGTGGTAATAGACCAGGCTGCCCCAGGCCCCATCCAAACTGGTCTTGAAAACCACCAGGGAAGGAGCATCCACACCCACTCCGGGCAGTCTGTTCCAGCATCTCACTGCCCTTTCCATGAAGAACTTCCCCCTGACATCCAATCTAAACCTTCCATCCTTGAGCTTAAAACCATTTTCCTTTGTCCTATCACTGTCCACTCTTGTAAAAAGTTGATTCCTCTCCTGTTCATAATCCCATTTTAAATACTGCAAGGCTGCAGCGAGGTCACCCCGCAGCTGTCTCTTCTCCAGGCTGAACAAGCCCAGCTCACTCAGCCTGTCTTTGCATGGGAGGTGATCCCGCTCTCTGATCATCTTTGTGGCCCTCCTCTGGACTCTATCCAACAGCTCCACATTTTCCTGTATTGGGGGCCCCAGACCTGGACACAATACTCCAGATGGAGCCTCATGAGGGCAGAGAAGAAGGGGACAATCACCTCCCTCTCCCTTCTAACCACCCCTCTTCTGATAGAGCCCAGGACAACACTGGCATTTCAGGCTGCAAGAGCACACTACTTACTCATGTCCAGTTCTTCATCCACCAGAACCCCCAGGTCCTCCACAGGGCTACTCTCAAGTTCTTCTTCTCCTCTCAGTCCACATATGCATCTGGAATTACTCTGACCCAAGTGCAAAACCTTGCACTTCGCAACATTGAACCTCAGAAGGTTCACATGGACCCACCATTTTAGTTTGTCGAGGTCTTCTTGGATGGTATCCCTTCCCTCTAACGTGTCACCTGCACCACTCAGCTTGGTGGCACTGGCAAACTTGCTAAGGGTGCAACCTATCATCAATGAAGATGCTGAAGAGCACTGGTCCCAAGACAAACCCCCAGGGGATACACCTCATCACCGGCCTCCACCTGGACATAGTGCTATTCAACACAAAACTCTGCATACAGCCTTCTAACCAATTTCTTGTCCATCAAACAGTCCACCCTTCATATCCATATCCCAATTTAGAGATGGCCCTATCCAGCTTTTATGTGTTTTCCAAATGTTTTCTTTAAGATTCATCATGACATTATTTGTTGTACATATAGCCATATTGTCACCATCCACCTACACTCTTTTAAAGAACCTAGCACCTTTTCAAAGCAAAGTGAGACTCTGGCTTATAGTACTTTCTAGGTTGCAGTACCAACAATAAAGCAATTTTGTAGGCAGTAATGTTGCTTTTTTCCCCCTACTATTTGCACACAATTACTTTCTGACTATGTATTTTTGTTGATAAATTCTTGGAACACACTATCTAATTCTGACACAATTCACATTTTACCATAGCCTGAAACCTGTTTGTCAAATCACTTCTGTAAAATATTGCTTCTCTTACATGGATAGTGCTCAAAAGTGGAAAGATGTGTGGCAAATGAGACTGAATTTCTAACTTGCCTACAAGGACTGCCAGTGGCTTCCCATTCTCTTCAACTACTAGCATTGTTTCACTGCTTCTTTTGAATGTTCCTCTCTATGTAATACTCTTGACTGTTCACAAAAAGAAAAAAAAAAAAGAAAAAAGAAAAAGAGATGCACTGCAAGCTTTGGTTGCTTTTTCCACAGTAGATAATATGTGCTGGCAGCACAACAACTATGTTCATTATGAACTCCCCATCAGAACCGTCTGGATACATATGAGCATGTCAGGTTAGACTAAGGGTAGCCTATTGATTTGACATCCACTGGTGCATTTTGTGAGATAAGACAATCCAGACTCAGACTCTACAGAGTATGATACTAATTCACAAATGTTTGTAATTTGGAACCAGAAAAATGCCTCTTGCGAAGTAAAGTCAAACTAAACTCTCAACACAGGGAAAAGCACAGACCACCCCAGATTTGAAGTGAGGTAAGTTCCTCCTTGTTAAGAGCAAGTTTCCTACTTAAAAAGAAATGAATAGAAGAATTTCTTTTGTTACTATCTTGTGTAATCTTGAGCACAATCCACTTTCTAAATATACCATGGAATTTTAACCACAGACTTGCCAGTATTACCACTAGAAACAAAAACATTAGCAAAGTCCTCTATATCATTTGTTTTCTTCCTCTAAAATTGTAGAGTTTAAATTTTAACCAGAAATGCATGGTTTTTTACGTTGTTTTGGTTTTTTTTTTTTGCAGTTTTCAGAAACTTTGTATCATCAAGGACACGTAGGGCGCATTAAGTACATATTTACACTTAAACATGGATTGTGTGGGCCTGCACACAGCTGAAGAAACTTAAATGCAACAACAGCAGGACAATCTGCTGTTGTACTGAAGCACACCCTTCATACTAATGCTAGAATTGAAGGTACTCTCAACATGCAAAACTGGGCATTTTCTGAATGTGGACATTTCTTCACCTATAACATATTTAGTTTATCACTAGAAATTAGTGTTTTCCCCTCTATCTTTTACTCTAGTTGAAACCTGCTTCTCTGGAAGTACATGTTAGAAAAAAAGAAAGAGAGGCAGGCTGTAATGATAGGAGACAGCAGATATAATTGCCTTTAATCACTTTCACATCACCCAAGAAAGGTACTCGTCACAATTTAGTAATAAATAGTAATAAAAGGAATAACTTACCCTCCCCTTTCCAAAGATCAGAGAACACAGAAAACTCCTAAAGGAGCTTTTCCTAAAGGCTAGAGACCTTTTCCATGGGGCTAGTGAGGGGTGGACACACAGGGTCCAGTGCCACAGGTGAACTGACCTGTTTCTACCTGTGTTCCCAGGGCTGGCTATATCCCTTCACCAGGTGCTCAATCACTGGTTTGGGCCACAATCTAATGGCTCCCATATCAGGCAAATGGGAAAAGGGAGGAACACCTGACACAAAAAGTAGATAAGTAACATGTTAACACACTGAAGTGTGAGGAAAAAAAGTAGTAACCAATGAGTATTTGTGTATTACATGGAAAATAATCCCTCCTTGTCCTCCCAGCGCTCACTGCATATTTTAGAAACATTGCCTCAAAACAATAAAGCCTTCAACCTCATGGAAATAAACCACAAACCCTCACTGGAAGTTTGTAGAGAATTATCTCCTGGTTTAGGAGTTCATGACCACGTCAAATTGACTCAAGTTGATGGAAGCTTTGCCATTGACTTGAGCTGATACAAGCTCAACTACTGTAGATAAGCCAGAGCACCTCCCCATACAATCAGGTTAAGAGAGCTCTTCTAGTAAAGAGAAGGCTCCAAGGGAATCTCCTAGCAGCCTTCCAGTACTTGAACAAGGCCTACAGTAAAGCTAGGGAGGGATTTTTTATGAGGGCAAGTAGCAACAACATGAGGGGAAATGGCTACTATAACAATCAGAAAGATCAACACAATAGAAGGGTGATAGAAGAGGTGCAATGACTGAGAGACTGATGCAACAGAAAAGTGTTAGAAACATAAAAGGACTGCTCACCAAACATCTAGGCTCAGAGGGAAAAACTCCACAAAGGAGAGACACCCAGAAAGAGAACCTTCCTAGTAGGGGTCAGCCTTTAAGTGGGGTTTAAGAGAGGTGTAGCCAGGCTCTGCCCCTTCCAGTCACACAGGAGAATTGCCTTCACCTGTGCTCCCAGGGCTGACTGGGTCCTTTCCCCCGGGTGCTCAGTCAGTGGTTCAGGCCATGACTCAACAGTTATCCTACAGCTACAAACTTGAAGAAGGTAGATTTTGACTGGATATTAGGAAGAAATTCTATTGTGAGGGTGTTGAGGCTCTAAAACAGGTTGTCCAGGGAGACTGTGGATGCTTCCTCCCAGGGGATGTTCAAAACCAGGCTGGATAGGGCTATGAGCAACCTGGTGTAGAGGGAGGTGTCCTTGCCCATAGTAGGGAGCTAAAAAGTACAGCTGGATCCTGTATTTTGGTTACAAAACCTCATGCATTGCTATAGCTTGGAGCAGAGTGGCTGGAAAGCTGCAGGGAGGAAAAAGGATATGGGGGTGTCAATTAGCAGCCAGCTGAACATGAGCCATCAGTGCGTCCAGGTAGCCAAGAAGGCCAATGGCATCCTGTCTTGTACCAGAAATACTGCAGCCAGCAGGACCAGGGAGGTGATTGTCCCTTCCTACTTGGCACTGGTGAGGCCACACTTCAAGCACTCTGTTCAGTTCTGGGCCCCTTACTACAAAAAAGACATTAAGGCCCTACAGTGTGTCCAAAGAAAGGCAACAAAGCTGGTGAAGTGTCTGGAACACAAGTCTTACGGTGAGTGGCTGAGGGAAGTGGGATTGCTCAATTTGGAGGAGGCTCAGGGGAGACAATGACCTGAAAGGAGATTGTGGTGAGGTGGTGGTCAGCCTCTTCTCCCACATAACTGTGACAGAACAAGAGATAATGGCCTAAAGTTTCACCAGGAGAGGGTTAGGGTGAATATTTGGAAAAATTTATTCTCAGAAGGAGTGGTGAGGTATTGGAACAGGCTACCCAGGGAGGTGGTGGAATCTCTATCTCTGGAGGTGTTCAAGAAAAGGGTGATGTCGCACTGAGTGACGTGGTCTAGAGTGCTAACAGGCATAGGCTGATGGTTGGATAGGTGATCTTATTGATCTTTCCAACCTTAACAATTTTATGATTCTACAATCAAAGCTAATGGATACAGTGGAATGGGCCAAGCCTGTTCTTAACAGGCGAGCTGAATGAAAAGTCCTTATTTTGCAGAGCTCAGTATTGCAGACATACACCATTCAGTGCACCTGAGCTGATCCCTGGAGAACAGTACTGACCACATTTGATTCACCAGGATAGCCCTGGCCTTTCAGAGTGCACAGCTGCTCTGGACACATTAATGATTTTTTTTTCATTAAGGCCTTGCCTTTAAATTCAGAGAACCAAAGTCTTGATACACAGGACAGAAAGGGCAACCAGCTCCTTGTGCTAACTTGATCAAATATTTTGAGGAATAAATATTCACAAAAATCCATTTTCTATATTTCTATATTTCAAGGGGCAAATAATAGGAATCTTAACCATCAAACAAACAAAACGTTGGTAGATCTAGCAAGAAGGTGCCAGTCTCAAACTTCATACATGATACGAATTCCCTGTGAAATGGTGGATTGTAAGAGAAGTAAGAGGGGACTGGCAAGAGAATAGCAGGAGCGTTGTTAGAACAACACATCCATGACACACAGTTCTGCAGGGAACACAAAGCTTAACTAGACATTAAAAAAAATATACTGAAGTGGTACCTGAGGTACATGAAACCCTGTACTGGGTCTGGCTAGGAGAGAGCTGACTTTCTTTAGAGCAGTGTGCGGAGCACTGTATTTTTGACTTGTGACTCAAACAGTGTTGATAACATACCAGTGTTTTAGCTATTGGTTGCACACCATCTAGGTTCTCTTTTTTTCCTTTCTTAGTCTTCTGCACTGTGGTGCATCACTTGCAACAAAGATGCCTTGTCCTTCCTGACAGCAGCTTCTAGCATTATGCTGTGGCCTTTTATGTCTACAAAGATGCTCTATATAGAGCCCCTGGTGGGGTGAGATCTGGATCTGAGGGCACACAGATGGACACTGGAAGGATCTACAGACCTGAGAACAAACAGACATTGTGGCTAAACCAGAGACTCAACTCTTGACTGTTGGTGAGAGACAAAGAGGTTCCCCATTAGTAGCATGGAGGGAAGCAGGAGGGAAAACCATGGCAAGCAGCCTGCTCCTCAGTGGGACAGATGTAAGGACATGGAAGGGAAGAGAAACATCACAGAAGAGGCAAAAACCACCTCATCCCTGAATAAGCTGTGGGATATGCGAGATGCTTGTGGCCATGATCCAGGAGAGCAGCTGGCTGCTCAAATGCTGGGCCAGTGGTGCCAGTGGTCTGGAACTGGAGGGCAGGGAAGCTCATCAGCTGGGATCCCTCTCTAGGGACCACCTAACCCACAAAATAGTCAGAAAAGGGCCAGATGTCCGCAGCCTCTGGAGGCAGCTCATGTCAAGCATGAAGGTGATTGCTCTCAAAAACAAAGTAAACTACCATGGGCAGTGGACCACTGCTGAGGAAAATATCTGAGGGAATTAGCAGTGGTGAACAGAGTCTATAGCAATCTGGACAACAGGACACCAAAGATCCAGATGCTGTACAATGCACACAACCCATGTGGTGGAGGCTGGTATGCAACACACCAGAGTTATACGCCTATACTTTCGTGACAACTGGCTGCTCAAACAGACTTCAAGGCAGCAACCACACAAAGACTGTCCTTCCAACTTCATGGATTCAAAGAGAATCTCTCTTCCTCATTCACCCTATGGGGCTGCATCTCAGCTGAGGAAGCACTGTCCCAAGAGGATCAATGATTCAAGTTGAGTACCAAGAGCATTTCTTCCTTCTTATCCCTACATACTATGGAAGAGATAAGGTCCCCACAGTACATTCTCCACAGTGATGTAGAGAACTGGCTGGGAAAGATGGCATGGGTTGCTCTTTCCTTGGGAGAAGGTAAATATATTTGTGGGATTGCTTTCACCAGAGGACCCAGGCAAACTTGGTGGGTAATGTGTGAAGATGGTGAAACCCAGTATGTACCCTAAGGAGCTTTAACCTTGGGGGGAAATAACCCATGATTTGAGTTCTAAACATCATAATTATGTCCAAACTATATGTCGCTGTTGTATGCTATCCTTCTATGTCAAAATACTACAGCAGGTATCATCTAAAACAGCGGATGATGAGCCTTGTAAGGAACTGGGCATGTTCAGTACTGATCCAATCTAAGCCAGTTTCTGCACACAACACAACTCACCACCTATCCTATCCTTAGTGACCACCACAACAGATGGTGCTCAAGTTATGGTTAAAATTAACTGAAAACACCTCTACGGACATTTGAATGGGTATCTTATGGACAATTGATGGGAATGGCTCTTAGACTAAAGGAATTGTAACTGCCTATGTGCTAAAGGGCTGGGAGAATGGTAGATCATATAAGACAGGAGCATGATGCAAGTGATACGGAGTAAAACATAGTGATTGTACTGGGTTTGGCTGGGATGGAGTTAGCTTTCATAGCAGCCTGCACAGTGCTGTATTTTTATTTTTGGCGAGAACAGCGTCAACAATACATCAGTGTTTCTTAGTTACTGCTGAGCAGAACATCAAGGTGCTCTTTCTTTCCCACTGTGCCCCTGCAGAAAGTTGGCTTGGAGTAAGCAAGAAGCTGGGAGGGGATACAGTCAGGATGGCTGATCTGTAATAACCAGAGGGGTAGTCAGTACCATACAGCATCATGCTCAGCAATAAAAAGTCGGGGTAGAAGAAGAGGATGAGGAGTTTTGTCTTCCAAGGTGGGCACTCTTCAGAGACTGGCTGGGCACCGGTCTGCTTTTGGAAACATTTGCCCCCCCCCAGTCCCCTTTCACTGCTACCTGTGTATTTCAGCATATTTGTCTCAAGAAGGCATTAATTTAAGTAATATCATGTAGTGTAGAAAAAATACAAAAGCCAGTATAGGAAATTCATTTCTCCTGATATTTGGTTAAATCAGCCCATTTCCCTGTAGTTTTGTTTTCACAATATTAAACTGTTTGTGAAACAAAGGTATCAGTTACTTGAGATGGAAAGCTTACATAAATTTTACTGACATTGCAATGCAAGTGGCTTGGTCTAATACAGTGAAATTTCTAGGAAGTACTTACGCATTTCTGCAAACAGCTGCCTTCTTTCTGCCATGGTATTTCCTCTTTTCCCGCAATCTTCAATCATTCTGGAAGACAAAATCATGTGAAAAGTCTAAGTACTATTCCCAGACAGAACATTCACATTTAAATATCCATAATCGATCCCGGAGAACCTTTGTGGATGACTGGTGCTCCACATATATTCAGTGCCTTTTGCCAGCCTCTTTGTGGCATGGTTTGGGGGAAAGCTGGTCCCAAAATTGCCCTCCATTCCCAAGACTCAGCTTTCAAGCATTTGTTTTCCCCCTCTCTATCTCCCAAAGGCAATGTTCAGTTTTTCCGCTTGATGTAACTAACTGACTTACATAACACAAGCTCTGAAATTCAGTTTAGGTTTTCTTAAATAAGGAATCTTCAGTTTAAATTATATAAGAGAGAAGAAATCATAAAAGATTCAGAAATTAGTTTGCAGCTTAGAAAATGCTTTTCTAGCCAGTTCTGGGTGGAAGAAAGAAAAAAAAATCACACAACAAAATCCACACTCCACAACACCTCTATTTACTCAAGCAAATACACTCCAAATATTCATTCAAACTCAGGACAGCATGTTTCTGATTAAATGAGTTCCAGAAAAAGGCTCAGAAGTAAGAATATTTTGTCCTGCAGTCTTCAGAATATTACTAAGAACACTACTGCTGGATAGAGAATAGAAAAAAACTACGGCTTCCCTCACAGCTGGCATTCAAACTGTAAAAGACAAAAGCTTCCAGAATAAACATCTTTAGAATCACTTAAAAAAATGGAATCTGTGTCAGCTTCACCACTTCCTATGGATAATTACTCTAGCAAAACAAACCTGGTTCAGGCTCTGACCCACATTTTAATCGACATCCTTATTTCAACTAGATCATGTCAAATAACATTGGGCCATGTGGGATGAAAAGGAGATACTATGTGGAGGAATAGAATCCAAAATACTCTGCTGTTTTCAATAGCAAACCCACACATGTATTTAATAGGAAGGATAAAAGTATTAATTGCGAAGTCTACTATCTGCCTACCAGAGGACTCTGGGCGGAAGACTAGTTTCCTTTTATTTCTTGGAGAAAGGAAAGCAGTCACATAAGAGATTTCTGATTATTATTTTTTTTCTCTCCATAATGCACTGCTCAAATGAAGTGCTGGTACATTACAGCTGCCTTTTCCCAATAGCCTATTCAAGTCTGAGAGTATTGATAAAGGTTCCACTAAAGTGCTGTTTATGGTGGACATTTTGTGATGTGAGTAGCAGTCTCATTACAAAGTGGACAAAGGGCATGGCTGTACAATGTTTATAGGTATATTCAAGTTCACTCATGCTCTGATTTGGCTATGAGAGATACAGATGTGTGTACCATGGCATTAAGTTGAGGAACTAATATATCCTGCCTTTCTCTAAAGATAAAAGCCTTCAGTATGATGCCTTATTGAAGTGGGCACACAGCCTCTGATCTGGAGCTAGTTTGTGTCTTGCTGGCTGGGAGGCGTCAAGGAAGGCTCACAGCAATCTGCAAAATGAGGTAAGCCTTAAGATACCCATTCTACATTCTAAGTAACAAGATTGTTTGTACCTGGACCAGCTTTACATCTCCCATAAAATATGAAAAATCATGTAATCCCACTAATCCCCGCTCGAGTTCCCCACACCTTTCTCTTTCTAATTGAACTTACTGTAGCAAACAATTTTGCTTTGGGAAATTACTATATCTCCTACAACAGGTGAGTTAATAAAGGCAATTTAAAAAATAACATTTTTTAGTCAGACAGGACAGCTGAGCGAACACTTCAGAGCAAATACAATTTTACATTAACATTTATTATTTGTAGAATGGTTCACAGAGCATCATCTTTTTTCTTTGACTTTTACTATATTCAGAGTTATTCTACCAACAATATACACACTGTTCATATTAACTGACCAAGCCTGGGTTATTTTCATTTTGGCACAACAATTACATCACCTTTTTCAGTTTCTTGATACAATTTATACTTATGGATAACACAGATTCTTCTCCATTGATTAATTTGGCATTTCTTTCCAGAAATGTTCAATACAGTCCATCTAATAATCACTGGATTTGCAAACATTCCAGCCTCTGACTTGCTTCAGTGTTTATTGAAAACAAAAAGGGTGCTACTTTATTCATGCTTTCCTTACAATTCCTTGTAGATAAAAGCATTCTTTAGTCACAGCTTTTACATACAGACAGAGCATTCATTGAGCATGGCTTACCTGTGACTGTATTCACCGCGTGAAAGAATTTTCCCAATCAAAACCAAATGAAAAATGCATTTTTCAAATAATGCTAATTCTAAAGCAAGATCTCGTGTTCCTCCAGGAAGCCTTTTGCCCAAGTATCCTTATACAGTGGGGTAAAAATCATCAACTAGTTTTCTCTTTTGTGCAGTCCATCCTTATTTTTATTTCACTGGTGGTTATATCTCTTTATATGAAGGGTTCTTTGGACATGGTCATCATTTTTCAGAATGTCCCATATCTACTGAAACACTTTATTCACAGCTGTGAAAACGGCAGTATATGGAGACTACGAGACTTGACAAGGGCCTCTCCCTGGAAGGCTGAGTTACATGTATATATATATACAAGTAACTTTGTAAGACTCTCACTGCAGTAGCTTTTTTTGCAGATTTCTGAATAGCCTTCATCCAAAATACTCCTAAAATTCTCTCCAGTGGCATATATACCATTAAGCCAACGAGAACATTAGCACCGGCAGTATTATCAGAAGTATCTTCTGTCCCTCTCTTGCATCTTTCTCTGATAGAACTAACCAGCCAACCAAATACAGATGATGGTGATCAATACTATTATCTTTGGGTTTCTTCTGATAGGAATTCCAGAATGTGTCCAAGCCAAGGCTCAACTAACACCACTGGTGATGAGTGCTGCACATCTTCTTTTTACCCTTTCACCTTGTTCCAGCTCACAGATATGCAGCTCAGCTCTTTAACTCAGATTACAGAAACTTGTACTTGAGGATGCTCTGAGCTCAGTCCTTGGAGCTGGCCATGAGCATAACTGACTGTTGTCACATTCCATATTTCTTGTCTGGCTTAAAACAAATGCCAATTCACAAAAAAAGAGGTATCTTATGTTCTACAAATCACAAAATGAAGTTTAACATATTTAACAAAACAGAATAAATTTTTACAAATATTAATTCTTGTACAATCTTCTCTCAGTAGAAGAGACATATTTGTTTTCCCTTGATGCCTTCCACTATCTTTTTTCCTTCTCTTTTCTCCCTGGGAAAAAGCTCTTCTGTACACAGGGAGAACACCTACTGTGCATCTAATTAAAATTCTTGTCATGGACTAATTAGTGAGGTACTGATTAGCAAGGTATTAAGGCTTCAACCATTACAGGCATTCTAGAGCAGAAATAATTAAGCATAAGGTTTCCAGTTACTGAAAAGGATACCATGAATGTTTCACTTCCACTGGCGCTTTGAGCTGAATGCCGTTATGATGTCAGTAGAGTTGGAGGGAAAACAATCAATAAACAAATGGCTTAGCCCAATTTGAGCTGTTTCAATGACAATTTAATCTTCATGCTTGTTATGCATCAGAAGCATAGCTGGTCTATTTTTTAGTATATTTTATTTGTTTATAAAATCTAAGAGAAAATACCATACATACATAAGGTGAGAAAATAAGGTGAGAACTTCATGCCTTACTTTTCTTTCCTTTCCTTTCCGCCACTTTGATTTATGAGTAATATAGCAACCTCTGTCTCACATAAGTGTTTTTTTGGCTTTAGTATTTCTAGGATAAATAGCTTTTTATTAAATTCTGTTTTAAGTCATCAATTAGTATATTACCAGCTTCTTGAACTTGGCAAAAGCAACACCTGCTAGCACTAAACCATTTGCTCCAAAACCCAAAAGGAGCTAACTGCCTGTCTAACTGGAAAAGGAGCTCTCTTCTTGAGAGCTCCATAAATTCAGGAAGAGACTGTAAGAAACTCCTAACGTGACACTCACATACGTGCACAGTTTGATGACTCTGAGAAAAGCCACCCCCATTAACACTTTGACAAATCCCTGTGTTGTTTATCAGTGACAGATGAAGCGCCACAGGGAGTCAGGAAGTGTGCCAGCGAGGAAATTTCATACACTGAAATTGATTAATTGTGGCATGGAAAATTTATAAACTCCTATGTGATGGCTGTGACGCAGCTGCGCGTTTTTACAACCTTGACACAAGAGCTCCAAACCCAGATCAGTGACATTCCTGCCTTGTAGACTGGATGAAAGTTGTTCCTTCCATTGCAGCTGGCACAAAAGAAAAAAAAAAAAACGAACATTTCTGTCTGCCTGAGTCTTGTCTACTTCTGGTTGGGAACACTTTGGGATATAACTTATAGTTGTATGTTTTGATCCAGAATCTTGGTAAAATCAACAGTGAGTGTCCCGAGATCACCTCCGGAAAGAATAACTTCATTTGGTAGAGAATATCAACAGGGCTCAAGCATCTGAGCAGCATGTATTTCCCTGGCATGGAAATCCCCTGATCTAAAGAGCTACTTCTTAATCTAACATGAAATGTCAAAATACTTCAATCTCAAAATTTGCTTAGGTATCTTTGGGAGTTGGAGGAATTAGGATGAGGATTAGGAGAGAACTGCAGGTTTCTCAATGGCCTTTCTTCATGCTGCTGACAAATCAGATGCTATTTTCTACACTGTTGGTCAAAATATAAAGACAGGTTTGACTAGACAATAGCATTCCTTTTCAGTAGCACAGGCTTCTTTCTGTCACTGCTTGGGCCAGTTTTATCAAAGTGCTGTTGCTCCTTTTTAGGCATTTTCAGCTCCAGAAATCCCAGTTTATGGAAATGAAAGAGCCTGCTAAGGTCCAGCTTACAGTGATCTGATAAAGTAGTGAAAGAACTCTAGACAATACGTGGGTTTGAAGCACTATTCACTCTGGGATCACAGCAACCTGAAAGAACAGATTTTAAACCTACAGTTCTTTTCTCCCACCTTCTCCAGATTCAGTCCAGTTAGCTGGGGGTTGCCCGTTTA